TTAAATTATATTATTGTTTTCATTATATTTTAAATAAAAAATTTAAATGTTTTTCTTAAAGCTTATTTTTTATAAGCTTATTTAAAAACAAAAAAAAAATTTATAAAAATTTTTTATCGTTTATGAAAAAGAGTATAACTAATGATTTCTTTGAAGAGGTATTTAATTTAATGCGCTATTTTATGAATCAATTTTTATAAGCATTAATACTTATCGTTTTTATTTTTTTAGATTAAAGCTCAAATTACCTCATTCGAGGATTTTAGTTATATTATTAGATGTTTTGGAATAACAAGATGTCCAACATCTGATAATTACATCATGATTATGGACTACAAAGAAGACGGTAGTCTTCATGATTATCTATATAAAAATTTTAAACTTCTAAGATGGGAACAAAAATTAGAAATTTTATATACCGCAAGTAAAGGACTTGCTAAAATTCATCAAAAAAACTTAATGCATAAGGATTTTCACAGCGGAAATATTATCATTTCAGATAATTTTTCTTACATAGCTGATTTTGGACTATGCAAAAATGTTAGTTCCAATAATGAAATTGAAAATGAAATTTGTGGTGTATTACCATTTATTGCACCTGAAGTTTTACGTGGAGAACCATACACGAAAGCGTCTGACATTTATTCTTTTGGAATCATTATGAATCAGGTTGCAGTGGGTTATAAACCGTATTATGATATTCCACACACTAATGAGCTTGCATTGAAGATTATGTGCAAAAACATTCGCCCAAATATTGATAAAGATAATACTCCAAAAATTATTGTTGAATTGATCGAACGTTGCTGGAGTGAAAACCCAGGTGATCGGCCGACTGCAATTAACTTGGTTGATGAGCTTCAAAGATGTAGGCAAGATGACCATAATATATGGACTGAGATTGAATCCATTGAAGAAAAGATGAACTTTAATATTCCTCAAGAAGAGCCTTGTTTAAATTACAAAACATCAGAAAACTATGCTAGTAAAACAATTAATGTTTCAAAGGAATCAGGTAATTGGTTAATTTTTTATTTTTTTCAAATAATTAACGCACTAATTTTCATTTTATATTTTTAGTAGCCAATTTTATCAAGCAAACTATTGAAATCCCATCAGATCCAGGTAGCTAATTTTTTATTATTTTGTTTCAAACCATCAATA